ATGATTATGAAGTTGGATCTACGACAAAAAGCTTATGATTGCTTGAGCAGAGATTTCTTGGAGAACACCTGACTGACTTTGGCTTCCGCCTAGATTTTAATAGGCTTGTCATGAACTTAATAAGAGAAATGAAGATGGAGATCATTTGGAATGGGAATGTCTTGGAGGAAATTCAACTACGAAGAGGTCTTAGACAAAGAGATCCCCTATCCTCTTAACTTTTCATTATGGCGATGGAACGACTCTCTAATCTCATTTCCAAGGATGTTGAGGCTATGGGATGGAAACCGATGAAGGTGGGTAGGCCAGGATTGAGCATATCACATATTTTTTTTTGCGGATGATTTGATGCTTTTTAGTGTTGCTCTTACCAACCAAATGGAAAACATGATGCACATTTTACAGACTTTTTCGCCGCGGGATCGGGACTAGAAACCAGTAAGATAAATCTAGGGTGTATTTCTCCCCTAACCTTGATGGGGGTTTAAGGAAGTATACTTCAAAATTTGTCTGGTATTCCGTCTACTACAGATCTCAGGAAGTATTTAGGCGCCCCTATAATCCACGGGCATAAATCCAAGTATAAATTTGCCTTTATCCTAGACAGGGTGAAACAAATGTTCACATTGTGGAAATAAAAGTTATTAAATCTGGCCAACGGGAAAGCGTTGATCCAATAAGTGAGTCACGTTATCCCACAATATGTTATGCAAACCCCTTTGCTTCCTTTAGCTATAGAATTGATCAACACAATGGAGACTTTCTATGGGGTCATAATGAGAGAACCTGTAAAATTCATCTCGTCAATTGGGATGATGTTTGTCACCAAAGGATTTGGGTGGTTTGGGCATCCGAAAAGCTGGAGATAATAATTTGGCTCTAGTAGCTAATCTTGGCTGGGATATCATGACGGGTTCCCAGAAACTTTGGGTTCAAATAATGAAGGCTAAATATATTATAAATTCTTCTTTCTGTGAAATAGAGAAGAATGGAGGCTCCTCTCACACTTGGCGGGATATTCTACGAAGCAAGAACATCATCTATAATGGGCTCAGGTGGCAGATGGGAAATGGGGAAGAGAACTCCGTCTGGTTTGATGTTCAATAGACCTCTTCATGAGGAACTTGGCTCTCCATTAGCGACTTCCGCATTGCAGGTCAATGTGGCAGATCTATTGATGAACAACAGTGATTGGAACATCACTCAACTAGAGACTTTACTTCTGAAGGATGTGCTAGAGGATGTGAGGGCAGTCCCTATTCCTATTCCAAATGAATACCAAAATGGAATTTATTGGAGGTTCACACCAACAGGTGAATCTCAAAAGAACCATGATCTGCCGCAAAGCTACCACGATCTGCCCTTAAGAAATTTGGAAATCCAAAGTCAATACCACGATCTGCCGCAAAGCTAATTTCATAACCTCAGAAAATTGCTTTCCAACCGAAAACTGAACACGCAACTAAAAATCTACAGGAAATCTCAAAAGAACAAAAGGCGCCAGCCGCAACATGACAACTAGGTCGCAATCTAGATATTTCCCATGGGATTAGCTATTTTGCTCTTTTAGTAATGATTTTCCTTTAATTTAGTACTCTTTTTCTCTCTTTTTCTTTGATGTAATTTTATTTTATTTTTTCCTTTCACGCATTATACTTTTTATTTATATCAATAAAATCTCATTTCCCCCCAAAAAAAGGTTAACCATTAATAGGTTAATCAAAAAACCGTATTGTTAAGAGACACACCAACGATCGTAGTGGGTTTCATCATTTATATACGGCAAGAAGAAACAAACTTGGTATCAACCTTCCTCCAACATACACGTCAGCTCATCAAACAAAGCAGTGCACTTGCTCACAATTTTCGACTCTTCCATCAACAATACAAGGGACATAAAGCTAGATTTGTCTAGACTCATGTATGCTAGTTTCAAATCTAGAATGTTTATCTCTTTCTTTTATTCTCAACGGAGCATTTTCAAACGGAGAAAATGATAAATTCTAACATTATTTTTAAATTCAAACGGAGCATAAATCCTTATCAATCATTATCATTGCATTCTCGTATATGGTAATTATATCCATTCACATATACGGAGAACAATTTCTCTCCTTATTTGCAGGGAGGTTACAACTCGAGAGCATATTCACTCCGTATACACACATGCATGCAATTCATATTTTGTAATTCAGGTATTCAATAATAGAACGAAAATCGGTTTATTTCATAATTCATTAGAAAACATTTTCAGCTAAAGGTCGATTGTAACATGAATTTGGAATAAAATCTTAATTTTGAATTATTAGTTAATTGGTGGTATTTAATGTCAAAATTGTAACCGTACCGTGAACCACTTTACTGATTCGGTTGGTTAACCGTACCACAAGTCTTTAAAAACATGGTACGATTAACAAAAAATACCAGTTTTTCAGTTATTTGCCACGATTAATCAGTTACGATTTTTATGTCTACCCCTAGTGCTCACGAGTAAGCCAAAGGGGCTATCTATACTTCAGGAAGCACCTATGTGGATTAGAAAGTTTTTCCACGAGGATGCTAATGTCTTAAGCATATTAGAATTTAAATTTCCTTCAGTCATTCCTTTTTCCATGTATCCAAAAAAATGATAGTTAAGTATTTTCTCTCTACTTCTTCTCTAATACTCCTTCACTTGTGTTCTATTTTTTTGTTATGAATCTTCAACACTTTTGCTATTTTTTCTATAGTATGCGGTATATGTGATTATGTGTTAGTAGTATTTCTTACATTTATTAAGTATGACCAAAAGTGATGATATTTAGCTCATATTCAGTTAATTCCCCCAATAGGAGCAAAACATGGAGAAAATGCAAAAATGTGAGTAGGTTTGTAGAATTCCCCAAACAGGAGTGCTCTTTGGAGCTTGGACAAGGATCAGTGGCGGAGCCAGAAATCCATGGTTACAGGGCCGGTCCTTTAAAATTTTATATTGCAGGGGCCAAAGTTAAAAATAGCAACATATTTTCTATAAATTAAAAGTATTTATACATAATATAGACTTAAGATTTTTTTTTTTCTTGCAGGGGCCGAGACCCCCTCCCTCCAGCCCTCCCTGTCTCCACCCCCGACAAGGATACCCTTGCTGGAGTTACTACTGATTCCCGAAATTCGACAAAAATTTACAGATCTGATATGTTCAATTCCGCCGCACCCCAAAAGTTCCCGGAATGCATTTGCGAACATTCTGACACCGCCGCCGCCGCCGCCCCAACACCACCGAACTACCCGCCACTAACGGACTGTCCGTCACCAACAAACTGACCGCCACCGACGAACTGATCCGATTGCCCAAGGTAACTAGAAGGACAATTAATTAATTAGATTAGGGGTATTATGGTAGAAAATAATGTTTTGTCCTATATTTAGAAAAGTTTTGAGATTAACTCCTATTTAGAAAAAGTTGCATATTTTACACCTTTTTTACTCCTATTAAGGACAATCACTTAATAATAAAGTATTACATAATATATAAGATCATGAACTACTTTAACATGATATTACAGTCCAACCAATTTATGACCATGGTGTGATCCTATGAAAATGAAAAAAAGTTACATGCTGAATGCCTAGTAAATTGACAATATTATTAGATCCCGGCCCACCCCAAATAAAAAATGCCTTTATTTTTAAGTTAAAATGTATTTTTCTCTCTCAAAAATATTCTTTGTATAAGACCAATCCAGTCGAGTGATCTGGCTCTGCCTCTGAGTATGGTCATAACAAAGATCTTCAACATGTCAACTGTTGTACTGCATAATGCTATAATATGTATAACGGTTAGAAATATTTATTTATAATTTCTATAAGTTTGGTGATATCTTTGTAATGCATACTACTAGTACTACGCAATATAATATTGCTATATCCACCCATATTTAAAAGTTCACTACAATAGGTTTGTGCACACTATTTAAGGATACAATAGTAAGAATAATGAATTATATAGAAAAAAGAGGAGAAAAATGTATAAAAGTATGAACGAGAAGATAAAAAGTAGAAAAATTAAGGGTAGTTGAATGTTTTTAAAAGAAATATTTACTAAGAGTGAAAATGTAGCAAATTTTTAAATACATCCAAAAAAAAGAAAGTGTAACAAAGGTTTAAAATACTGAGTGAGTATAAATAAATAAATAAATAAATTAATTAGTTAATTAGTCAACACATAATAACAATAATAATAATACATACATTAATGCTATTATTATAATTCCCAATTATGTACATCATCTTGCAAAAACATTTGTATAATATTTTAAAATTTTATACTGGATGACATGTTCACATTTATTATCCCAACATTATCCATTTTTTTAAAAAACAATATACTTTAATATAACAAGTACTTTTTGAATCTACACATATTGTTGCTTCAATTTTTTTTCTACATATATTGTATCATAATTATTAGAGAACTATTATGAAGGAATATATAACTTCTTTTATTTATGAATTTCTTATATAATTATATATTACGGAGTATATATTTGGTGTTGAATGGGTTTACCGATCGTTCACTCGGCTAATCCGTTGGATCCGAGTTGACACTTGATCCGATAATAAGGATGCTTTTATTTGGAATGAAATTTTCTGGTCTAGTATGGTCTGAACTGGTCTGGTCTAATAAACATCTGGTCTTTATGTATTTTACTACGTGTAACTATCGAAGTGTGATCTGGTCTGATATTTAAAACAGTCCGAGTAAAAAAGATCCTAAATATACCATAATACTCATTAGAGAGCTTCTTCTTGTACACACTTTTATACTCACCTTATACCCACTATGTCTGTGAGGAGTTTTTTTTTTGTCTGTGAATATGATTCATAGACAAAATAATTTGCATAGACATATTTTGTATGTGACAGGAATCACAGACAAAAAAAAATCTCCACATACATGGTGAATACGTATAAAAGTACGTCAAACAATTTTTTTGTACTCATTAATGCAGTATATTTCTCTTATTACTCCGTATTCAGTTAGCATTTGTCATTACTCCGTATATAATATCAGTAACACTCATGTAAGGCCAAAAGTGTTGAAAAATGAGCGCCCTCCCGTTTCTGAAAACCCCCAAAGTGGAGTCGGATGCGAAGAACGAAGAAAGCATCGGCGGGGAAGCCCACTATGACGGCGGTGATGATCAGACATCCGATACAGAACCTCAGCCGAGGAGCGAGCAAGAAGAAGCCTTAGTCGCTCTCATTGAACACCGCACCAAGGAGGTTACTCGTCTCCGACAGCGCGTCTCGTATTATAAATCCCAGGTATTTTATTTATTTGTTTCTTTTTATTTCATGGATGATTAGAGTATGAAATTACCCAATTGCCTGGATTTACCCGCGATAATACTGTTTTTAAGGAGTTAAAGGAACTAACACAAATAAATGATCAAGAAACGGAGGAGGTTGTGAAATATGGAACTGAACTGAAAACTGGTTGAATTGAAAAAGCTGAACCGAAGAAACTTTAGGGAGAAGACAAAAGTTTAGTTATGGGGTGATATATAGTAGGCTTACATGGCTCACAACTATTTGCCGGCTGGCAAGTGGCAATACAGAATCAACAAGAATTAACTTGCTTTTTGATGAGTAGAACGTGCTGAGAATAGGGATCTACATGGCTGAATTATTCCTCTGCTCTGGGTTAGCTAAAGATTTGGACTTTTTGGTCTCAGCAAATAAATCCTTGTACTCTAACTGTCCAACATTAAGGTATTCAATGCTCCTTGTAGGGGTCTTTGGTGTGAAGTAGTGCTACTCGAGGCAAAGACACCTTGTTTTGCCATGCCTTATAACTGCCTTGCTCCCCGGTTTTAATCGCATGCTTAGCGTGGGCAAATCCCGTAACGGTGATGCTAAATTCATCAACCACGCCACTCCCAATATGACATCAAACTCATCCGACGTATGGTGTAAATTCATGTTATATTAAATACTCTCTGTGAACAAGTTCTGAGACCTATGTGCATATGCTCCTTTATAGCGTGATTGGGAGAAGAATGAAAACTACGCGGATAAAGAACAAACCACTTTTAGCCGAATAGGAGTCCCGTCACACATATTTATTTTCAAAGTTATTACTCCCTCTGTCCCAATTTGATAGTACCATTGCTTTTGGGCACAAATATTAAGGAGGAGTATGAAAAACCCAAAATTGCCTTTATTTCTGTTTAATTTTCCTTTTGTCCCAGGACTCCCCTGCCTCTTTCTTTTTCATTTCCCTTTGTCCCTCTTCTTCTCAACTAGGACCACCGAATTGAAAAAATCTGATATATCTGCCGAATTGACATCTATTGTACAAGCAAAAAGAAGAGGGGGGGGGAGGGGGGAACCAGGCAGATTACAAAGGGATTACAAAATTTCACCCATTGAGACTTCTAAATCTGCGTAGTTAACCAATTCGACTTCTTTGTAGGTGTTTATGCTTATGTTTTTTTCATACCCTTCTCTTCGCATCCTTACCGGTAGGTGTATCCACCGCATCGGACAAAAGAGGTAAAACAAATTGAGGGAAAAAAATCTAAAATTGTGTGACAGAAAGGTCGATGTAGTTTAGTTCTATCATTCGCAAACCCACAAAAAGTGAGAGTTCTCGTTTTCGCCGTCGCCACATCAATAGCATCTTGCGTCTGAGAAGGAGCTTGAGGAGGGAGACCGGCGATTTAGAAGAGGCAGAGCAATACGAACAGGAGACCAATGATTTTGTGAAGGGGGGAAATACGAACATACATATAAGTGTTCGAGAAAATGGGGAGAAGAATATGGTGGTAAAGGTAAATTAGATATAATAAGAAGGTTAAAATTGAAATTGCATGTCATTTTTTTTGCTAAAAAGGGAAATGGGACTATCGTTTTGGGACATCCCTAAAAGGAAATAAGATACCATCAAATTGGGACTGCGGGAGTAATGAATAAGAACTGTTCATATTATTCCTATGAGTTTGTAACTCTGTATGAGTTAGTACAGATTCCAAATCTATAACAATATTATCGATACAATGTATAAACTTAACTAAAATAGAGTACTAATCCCAATAGAAATTTTTTACTAAGTACAACCTCCGTCCCATATAAAGGTTCCCATCTACTATTCTCCGGTCAATGTAAGTTCTTATTAATTGTTTACTTTATATATCCAACTTTTATCAAATTTTGAGTTTTATTTTGTGACTGTAATTTTTTTTTTTTACTTTAAAAAAAATCTAATCACGGCAGGGATTTGCTTACTTTATAGTCAGTCAAACATCGAAAACAGTGTGGGAACCTCTCTACGGGACGGAGGAAGTATTTATTACTGATAGGAAACTGATACTCCCTACGTCCCAGAATAAACTTCGTGTTTTCATTTTTTGGACTGTCCCAATGTAAACTTCATGTGTCCTTTTCCCAATACGGGGTTCTTATCATTTCAATATTTTCTACTCAAATCTAACCACATCTTTTCCTTTTCAACCACATTATTAATAAGCATGTCAAATTCGTTCACTTATTCTTTATACCGTCATCCTGGTTTAGCCATTTAGGATCTTCTTTTCTTTATCCTTGTAGTATTTAGTCATTTCAATGTATCTAGTCGCCTTTTCAATCCTCTGAGGCTTCAAGCCGTTTCATACAGCTATAAATATCTTCCTTGTTTTTTTAGTCCAATTGTCATAAATCAGTTTCTATTTAGCAAATTTAGACTTCATCTGTTTCTTTTCTCATCATACTTGTACCACACTCTTTATAGTTTACATATTTCTGTTTTATGACAACATTGATGGCCTATGCTACCAGGTCACAGCTCTTTATATTGAAACTATTCTTTTGATTCGCCTAAAAACTCTTTGTTTACTATTACTCCACAGTTGCAATTTTTTATTTCTATCCATGTAACATCTGCATCATCTTCTATTGCCGAGTTAGCTCCCCCCAACTACCTTGTTAACAAATGACTTTGTTTCCTTGCTAATAGTCTTTAATTTATATTTCTATTCCATAATCCTTATCTTATTACCTATTAGAATAATGTACTTAGATCAAAATAGATTATCTTTTAGAGAGGGTGGGGGGTAAATTTTAGGATATTATCAGCGGGGCTCTGCTTGGGGCCACAATATCTCGCCTTTTGTCTCTCGGATAGTCCATTCAGGTTCTTTTAGAGATTTCTTAGAGCTCTTTAATTTCTAGTGCCTGTCTTATCCTTTTTCTTTATTCAATTTTTTTTTCAATGCTTGTTACTCTGTCACTACTTTAAATTGTCTAAAAGATCCACACAAAGATGGTGTCTCCTTTTATCTACCTATTTACACAAATTGCAGATATCCCAGTTGAATACCTCACTCCCACCCTCTCCTGTTCTCGTGATACACTGATAGATTGGGAGAACAGATATGAATTTCATAGGGCTAGCAATTGACCAGCCTCGGATGGAAAGATTCTTAAACATTGGCTTACATGGTCTTGATTTAATTTCAATGTAAAGTTTTAAAACACAAGTACTACAACATATGTGTATGGTATTGGATTGCATACGTAGCTTTGCGTTGTTAAGTTGTTTGTTTGTTGGACCAAAAAGTGATACTTTATTTCTTTTACTGATGGTCACACAGCTTAATGAAGCAGAGAGGAGACTAGATGAGACACAAGTGAAGCTGGGTCGCCTTCGTGGCCATGACAGTAGTACAATATCGAAGAGTTCTTATGACAATGGCGTGAAGAATGTAAAATCCAATTGGAGATCCTCGAGTCCTGCCTCCTGTAGTGAAGATACTAAAAACCTTGCTGAGAATAAACCACAAGAGAAGGGTATTTCACTCAGACCATTAGAGCAAAAATCAGCTGGAAACCAACCTCAGAGTAAACCACAGCTTGTAATTCCTACTGTGAAACCAAAAGCTTATCAACCAACTAAGATGGTAAAGTCTGAACCTAAAGATGTTGCTAGTAGTCCTGGTTCTTTTTCTAGTGAACCAGCATTTCCTCACAGTAATAGTATGACAAAGATAAAGGCAGGAAAAAGTATGAGCAAATCTTCTGAGAAGGAAGCGGTTGATGCTCAAAGTAGAGGCATAAAAAGAAAATTTGGTATTTTTTTTTATTTCTGTTTATATAATCTCAATGTTTTTTTTCAATGTGTGTGGCGAATTTCTTGTTAAAAATTGGAAATTCTGTCAATTAGGTGTAATTTAGTAAATTGAGATGTTTTAATTGTCGTGCTCATTTTCTTAGTGCAGAGCAGAAAGAACAGAAAAATCTAGTTTCTGTACTTCGCACATCCTCTTCACCCAACACTATCCGGTGTCATACATGCTCTACTATGTCAAGTCAACATAAAAGAAAGCTCAGAAGTCTTGTGCTATGCCCAACGAGTGAGCAACTGTTTGCCACGAGGTAGTTTACCTTGCTTGAATTTAAATGAAAAGGTCATCAATTTTGATTTCTAGAGCTTGTTCTTAACTTTGAGTGCTTTTAGAATTAAGATTACATATAATTGCGCTAATGGAAGTAATATGACTTTAAGTAAGTTCATTCTGTATGAGAAGTAGTGGATTTCTCTTTATCTGAAGCATTTGTTGTGTTCGTATAACTGTGTATATATATTGGTTGTGACTTTTTCTAGTAGTATTAAAAAAAACTTCTTAATGTTAAGTTCTATACTTTCACGTTCTCTCTTCCTGGCAAAGGCATGTAAAAAAATCCTGGCCCGCAACGACCCGCCCCTTTTCTTAATTTTTGACACTTTGTTTTGTATTATCACTGACTTTTATTACAAGTGTTTTTCTAATTGTGTGGAAGTAAATTTTATGTAAATTCAAGGTATAAATGAATAATGACTTCATGCAAATTGAGATGCATACTAGTTAATTAGATTACGACGGGGCAGGGTGGACCCGCCCCACATGTGGCTGGGCGGACCCGCCCCGCATGTGGCGGGTCATGGGCCAACTTATAATTACCCATGATTGCTATTATTAATTCAATATCTTACTTAAAATTGCAGCGCACTGGATGGACTTGTCAACCTGTGGCAGATTCAGAGAGGGTATGTAAACTCATCTATAGATGCTATAGAGTATATAATAAAATTTCCTAGTGATGAGAAAAGATACTATGATATATAGACTGGAAAACTAGTTAAAGTATATTCTGTGAAAAGAAGACTGTAGAGCCGAGTTCCATAGCCTTATTTAGGTAAATCTAAAAGTATTATTGACCGACATAACAATTTTTTGCATATTCATCACATATATTCTTTCTCACAATAGGAACTTCAGTACATATATGCTTGGTAATACTGTTTTCACCGAACCCTCCTTACCTCCTAACTTCCTAAGTCCTAACAAACTATTGACATTCCTAATCAAAATTGGTAATATGTTCTCATTATATCTTTACTTGTATTACCTCTATGCAGATCAACTGCCAATCTTCTCAGTACTACTGATTGCTTTTCACCAAAACAAAGGAGATGGCCAGAAGATATAGCCTGGCACCCTGATGGGGGTGCTATATTTTCTGCTTATGGTGCCGATAAAGATGAAACCCAGATTTCAATTCTTAATTTGAACAAAACGAAAGAGGTAGTGTGAGTCGTGGTTGCATTATCTAATGATATGCGTCTTACAATTGTAAAACAAAGCAGTATGAAAATGCATGCGTGCAATTGTTTTCAATGATTACTTGAAATTTTTCATTGGTTAAGGAGTAAAGGACATTAACCTCTTTCACAAACACATACATTTCGTGAAATGGAGCATATAGAAAATTAAAACAGAATTTCCAGGCAATAAATTTTAGTGGTGGTTGTATTTACATGTTCAGTCCACTTCCCTCGCTGTTGAGGATGGATAAAACAGCGGTATCACTATCTCACTCATTTGATGTTGAAGATGATAGATATCTTGAGTCAAATCAAGTAATACATATTTTACTTGCTTATGAGTTATGACCCATACCTTTTGACCCCAAAATCTTTTGGGAATAAGGCTTGGATGTTGTTGTTTATGTCTCATAATTTTCCCCAAACTCTTTTAGGATTAAGGTTTGAATGATGTTATATTTCCCATAATTTGTGTAATAGAGCCCGGAATTTAATTGGTGCCTGATGACCTTAATACTTGAACAAGTCTCTCTACATACAGTCATAAATGGTGAATTGAAATCCTAGTATAAGTTACTAATTGTATATGCCGATGCTTTAATAGAGTCGCATTAGTTTCTTGGAAGCAAAGCCACATGTTAAAGGCATCATTAACAGCATAGTGTTCATGCCGTGGGAAGATATCTGCTTTGTTACTGGTGGTAGTGATCATGCTGTATTCTGTTGGACTGAGATAAAAGAGGAAAATATGTGGAAGCATAAAGCATTGCATCGAAGTGAGCATACGTCATCTGTAACAGGAGTCGCTGGTATGCAGCATAAGAAAATTGTGATGTCTGTTGGAGCTGACAAGAGGATCATTGGATATGATATGCAAGCTGGAAGAGCTGGCTATATCCATCAAATTGATAGCAAGTGCATGAGTATTTTGCCCAATCCATGCGACTTCAACCTCTTTTTGGTTCAGGCTGGGTATATCACTATCGCAATATGATTTTTCTTTTGTGTACTTATTTCTTCAAACTATGGGTGTGGGTGTGAGGACATTGAGAAGAATGTGAAGAACTAAGAGCATCTCCAATGGTAAAATGTGCACAGTGCACACGTGGCATGAGAAATAACCACATAAATATTAGTAAATAAATTCTTTCTCTCCTTATTTGAATGATTTTATATAGTTTTTGTAAGTTTTCTCCACAATGTCAAGAAAACCGTCTAGATGTTGACATTGTTATTGACATTGTAGGGAAAAACTTACCAAAATTGTATAAAACATTCAAATAAGGAGATAGATTATTTATTTGCCAATATTTATGTGGCTATGACGCATGCCACATGTGCACCGTGCACATTATGACATTGGAGATGCTCTAACTGGTTGGTTGGAGGTGAATACAGTCACAGTGCCATTTGGCATTTTCTGTATTCTGTTTTCTCTTTCAAGCTTTTTGAAAACAGAAGCACCGGAATGTATTTGATTGATTAGTTTCCCTGGTTTTCCAAAATAAAAAATAGAAATTTGGATATTGTTGAAAAGAAGAATGTGATTTTTTCATTGGTTTTTTTGTGAGTATTATTTCACTGTTTAAAGAAGCATGTTTCTGATATTGACCATATTCTTCAAACATTTAGAATTTTGTAAAAAGAATCATGTAGTTTCAAAATAAGCAATTAAATAATACTCTATATAAATCATGTTGACAAAACAGTCCCGCAAACATGCTTAAGTAAAGAGTTTGAAAACTGAACAAAAGAAAAACAAAAACAATCAAAACTTCAAGACAAACAAATTATAAAATAAAACAGGAAATGCTACCAAACTAACTACCAGTTTTCCCTAGACATGCTTCTGTTTCAAGATCTGTGGTTCATGGATTTGTGTTGTACATACTCCACAATTATGGAATCTCTACTGATGAGGAATCCTCAAATTCATTTATACATTGCAGGACATTAGAGAAGCAGCTTCGACTGTTTGATATCAGAGCAAAGCAAAGAGAGGTCCATGCATTTGGGTGGAAGCAAGAAAGCAGTGATTCACAATCAGCTCTCATAAATCAGGATTGGTCTCCTGACGGTTTGTACATCACATCCGGATCGGTTGATCCTGTCATCCACATATTCGACATAAGATACAACTCTCACAAACCTTCACAGTCAATAAAGGCCCATCAGAAGCGTGTCTTTAAAGCTGTTTGGCACCACACTCTCCCACTCCTAATATCCATCTCATCTGATCTGAACATCGGATTACACAAGGTCAGCTGAGTTGCTGTGAAAAATCAATTTCTTTTGTAGTCTGCCCAACGCTTTCATTTGCAAACTGTATCCATGAATTCTCTAATCGAAAAAACCACACACACATCAAAGTAGATGATCACTGACTGAATACTGAAAGCACTCCTTCCCCCCACATGATGGAGCTCTTCCCAACGCGTTTAATGCGCTAGTACTGAGCTCCTCTCCTCCGCTGAACCTGTGTAACTTTGGCTCTTTTGTATGGCTACAAGTAGAAGTTAACTAAATATATACACACTTTCGTTGTCGTTTTCCTTTTCATGTATGTGTTTGTGGACGTTTTCATAGTATTGAAAAGTTAAAAGCTTACTATGCCTTTGTGGTCACTGAGGCGAAGTTTAAATAGTCAATTAATTATATCAAATTAGTCAGCACTTCAGATTATGCCAAAATAGACTAAATAGACATATTGTACGGGTTGTTTATGTTGCAAGATAATTAACTTTTTTAATGAAATTTCAAAATCGTACTCCATATATTAAATTCACTTTCAGAAATTATTGCCAGTCGTCGTCTCGTCGATGAGGTAAGATGGCGCCAGTAGTTCTGTCATTTCAAGAATATAATAATACAAGAGTTTGTCCATGTATCAACTTTCGGTACTCGTCTTTTTACAATAGTCAATAGGTATAGAATAAGAAGTGTCACTTGAGTCTTTGACAATGACCAAAAGTTCAACTTTCATAATACTCCCTCCGTCCCTATTATATCTTCCAAATAGGTTTGGCACAGAGTTTAAGATAGTGGGTATTGTGTGGTGGAGAGTTGTGCAGAGGAGAGAGAAATGTGTAAGAATTGTTGTGAATCACAAATTCTGGCCAAAAAGGAAAAGTGTAAGTTTTAATTGAGACGGACGAAAAAGGAAAATTGGAAGTTTATTTAGGGACGGAGGGAGTAGTAAGAGAATCTAAAGTCAAAAACTCCGGTCTTCAAAAACATTTTTATTTTTAAAGTTGAACTGGCACTACAATGGCTAGAACGCATTTCATTTTTTTTGAAGAAAGGGGCTTAGATTAATAAAATAGCATTTAGAATCTCAGATGTGAAATAACAAAAGAACTATATGTAATGATGTAATCGTCCACCTTTGGACCAGACTCAGAGTTAACCACCTTTGACAAAATAGTATAACTCGTTGATCCTAACTTGGCATAATTGAGCCAATGATGATTACCGCAGACCTTTTATCACTCATTCCTAATGCAAGAGTCTTACATCATAAATTAAATTGAAAAAAAAAAGAGCAGTCTTAGCGTGGAATAGGGCTGGACTCGGGCCGGTTCGGGCCCGGTTCGGGCCTGGGCCTGGCCGGGCCTCGGGACAGGAAAGGGGAGGCCCGAGCCCGAACCGCCGGTGGCCGGTTCCGGTTCCGGTTCCGGGCCAAACCGGGCCGGGCCGAATCGGCCCAATTAAATTTTTTTTTGCTCTCCTATTTAATCCCCTACCCCTCCCCCTCAACCCCAAACCATCCCAAACCACCTCAAATGGCCCAAAATACCTAATCCAACCTAAAACTTAAAAAAAATTCAAAAAAATAAATAAATTAAAATCCGGCCCGGCCCGGGCCCGAACCAGCCGGGCCGGTTCACCAAAACCTGGGCCCGAGCCCGGACCGCCCAGCACCCGGGCCGGGCCAAACCGAACCGGTGGACCCACCGGGCCACGGGCCGGGCCGGGCCAAACAGTGACCGGGCCGGTTCGGTCCTGGGTCGGGCCGCCCGGCCCAAGTCCTCTTGAGCAGGATCACCAACTGCACCACCGGCGGGTCTAGGGGTCTTGACCCGCCGCCTCCCCATTTTTTGATTTGTCAAGAGACATGCTCTCACCACCTGCGATCTCTTTTTCATGTTCTTCCTAAATCCTTCTACGTTTCGGGTCCCCTGAACCTCATTTGAATCGCCTATCCCTCCCTTCTTGGTCACACTGTTGCTTGTATCTGCGGATGACTCACGTCGATCTTGTTCCCCTGTTCCTTCACCATCAAGACATGTTTTCCGTTGTAGCCTAACACCCCTTGAGCTTGAGAGATTATCCACTAACCATTTGTTAGTCCCTGTAGGACTTGTCTGCCCCCCTTCACCAGCCCAAAGTTCAACCCCAATTTTTTTCCCTACACAATACCTTCCTCATATTTCAACGAGCAGAATTTATGAGAATGCCCAATCACTTCACAAATGAAACAAAAGTTTGGTAGTTATTCATATTTAAAATCTACCCAGTGTCTGACACCCTCTTTCTTTAAAGTAGTTCCCATTTTCAGAGGCATCCCCACATCCATGCACACCCTTATTCTCATATAAGATTTCCACTTTTCCTCAAATTGGTTCTTATCACACTTAATAAATGTGACAATATAGTGCCCAATCCTCGTAGCAGTACCTAGGTTCATGAATTTAAATGGTACATTATTGTGGACATGTACCCAGAACTCAGTCTCACACAAATTCATCTTATGAGGTATATCATCTAGCTGAACTACCTTTAGAAGCAATAAGTTTCTCTCGTACGACCAAGGCCCATCCTCAAGCACACGGTTCATATCCATAATATGATAAAAAGTAAAAAGGTACCTTTTTTCTCCAAATCCTGTGATAGAAATCCCCTTACCCGGGTGCCAGATTGAAGCCAAAAAGTCTTTGAATGTTTGAAACTTGATTTTCCGATCCGTGAGCACGACTCCAACCACCGAGTATTCCACTCTTTCATCGGCCGCATCAACCTCCCTGGCATCTTCGTTAACAAAATTGAGTTTGTTGTTGTCCTCGCCAATAGCCATCTTTTTATAATTATTCACGATACCATCCATCTAAAAAGCCCTCGGAGAACGCCCCTTGCCCTCTGCCTTTAGCGACCGAAACTAAACCTGCCTCAAACCAAGCCTTGCTTTTCCTCAACTATTGGTGCTCGACGAACGCCAGCCAGCAGCGGAGCCCAATCACAGCAACCAGAGGAAACCGTCCTTGCGGCCGTTCTTCATTTGTGACGAAAATGGGAAAAATCGGCTCTAGCGACTAAGCCCTAGATAGAGTTTAGAACGTATTTCATTTAATTTGGATGAAAATAATCTTTGTGTGTTTTTATATTAAATCTGTATATAAAAGTTACGGAGTACATTGTACTCCAATGTGTTTATATGAGAGCTTGTGAATGTTATTAAGTTATACTCCTTCCCGTCCCGATAAGATTGCCTCATACCAAATTTGGTAAAGTTTGTGCGGCTCTAAATCATTTTTACTTTATTCTTACTTTATTAATTTAATTTCAACCACATAAATTCATTTTTTCTTAATAACTACGCATTCCCTCATGTCCCAACTCTCAATGTTAGTCGGATTTGAAGCTAATACATATCCATATCACGGTGGCTGTAACTTGAGTGTCCAAGTGTGCGCGCGCGCTCTTGCGCGCGTGTTCGTGGGTGTGCTGTGACACCGCACCCGGATGTACTTGAATTTGAAATTCGACTTGTATTTGAAATTCCTAGCGAATAAATTTCGTGTAATTGATTGATATATTTAATTAATGTGTGATTAATTAAATAATTTATCGGGCCCGTAATATTGAGAATGAGCTACCAAATATTTAGTTGGGTTATCGTAATAATCCTAAGAGCCCAATAAAGTGCCAACCAAAGTTGATAAAAATATTTGTACAACCCGATCGCTATTTTGGCCCAACCTGCCAGAAATAGCAGGAATAATTGGGAGGGACTTCCTACACTCACTTGGGGTATGCTACACACTAATTTGACTCAAATAATAAGGGAGGAGGGGCCACACATGTTGACTTGTGCGTGCAAGGGGAGGGGAGCATCATGGAGACAAGTCCACACACCCCATGTTGGACTTATCTTGGGATTGATTGGGTTGAGATAGAGCTACTCCTCTCCCATCCTATCATTGCTTCATACGAACAACCAAGAGAGAAGAGCCCAGGGAAAACTAAAGCTCTCAAAAGCCATAGTTGGGGGAAGCAACAAGAGAAGAAATCCAAGGAGAAAAGAGTTGTTCTTGAGGTAAGAACACAACCATCATTCTTTAACTAGTATTATTTTTGTATGATTTTTAAGAAATCATATGGTGGATTAAACATGAAGTTCTACACGTTTAAAAGTGTAGAATAATGTTATAAAGTGGTGGTATTTAACTTAGAAGAGTCGTGGAATCGATAGGAGTTGAAATCGCCGGAAACCGCCAAGTATAGGAGGCTGTTCGTAGCTGCAGACCACGAAAGCCGCCCACCTTTCACGAAAGCCGCCCGGCTTTCGTCTGCTGCCCAGATTTTTCATCTCCAAACGGCTTAGAACGGGGATTGATCGGAGGGCTTAACAAAGGCAACTATTTCAGCACTTCATAAGGTGAGGATGGCTGACTATATTGCTTATAATCTTTGGGTTAATTTCATGAGATTACCTAAGGTAATTAAAAATGTTTTTAAGGATTATTAATGATTAATAATGCCTAAGAATGAGAAGACTATTGTCTATAAGGAAAAGAGCATAATATACAAATTTGTAAGAGATTGTGTATGATTATGTGATATGAAAGCAATGGTATGGTAATGGAATTAACTATGAAAATTGTGATAAAATATACTTTTACTTCATGTATGAAATTCATGAATGGATAAAAGTGATATTTTTGATATTGGGATTAAATCATATTTGGATTGGAAAATCAATTGAGATAAACTATTTGGTTATGAATTTAGAACTTGGTTGTTCTAAGGTTATTCGACTAGTATCGAAATACTAGTCGGGAGATTTATATAAATAAATGATGGAATTAATCCTAAGAGATAGGATTGTGAATAGATATGCCTTAAGTAGTCTTAAGAGATGCTTTAAGGTCGAATTGTATGAACACTAAGGTGTGTTAGGGGTTGGCCTTAAGGCTATCCAAGTGAATTGATTCTAGGCATAGGATTTGCTTGAGAATTGAGCTATGAAAATAAATTAGAGTCGGACTCTAGGATTACATGGAAATGTAGTTGGGCCGAGCCCTTGCCATGTAACGTGATTAGCATGGAAACGTAGTTGGGCCGAGCCCTTGCCATGCATTGTGATCTTCATGGAAACGTAGTTGGGCCGAGCCCTTGCCATGAAGTTACGGTTGGTATGGAAACGTAGTTGGGCCGAGCCCTTGCCATACAAATTTAGATATATTAAATTGAGTTAAAGGATTGTATAGAAATGTAGTTGGGCCGAGCCCTTGCTATACAATCGGGACTCGAGGGAACCCTATGGGGTTGTCGTGACTCATGGTCACGGAAAGTGAAAATGGTAAATTCTAAATGAATATGGGCCCACGGGCCGACTACTTGACTTTATATAAAGTAAGTATATTTATAAACAGGGTAACCGGGGGTTACGGCCTACGATATAGTATCACTCTATTTGAGGGTCTTAAGAAATTGAAACATTGATTATACTTAGTATAGTTGTCATTGTACTTGTCAAATGCTTCCAAGTACTGACCTCCCCTTCACGGGGGAGGCCACCTCACAGTTTCAGGTAGAACTTGAAGAGTTGCTGCCACTACCCGTTGCTTCGGGGAGATCAAGGGAAGAAGACGTGGTTCGTGCTTCTTCCGTTTCTGTTTTGAAAACAATCTAAATAATGCTCATGGATATTACTTTTGAATAATTATTTGAGGGCTTGTATGCCCATGTTCGCCAAAGTGTGGCATAAACACTTTATTAAATGTTTCCGCTGCTTTAATTAATTATTTTACATTATGATTGTTTATGGATGTACTATTGTGAATGGTATTCAAGACGCCTTGTATGGTATGGATGAGTTGGACTGCGGTTGACTATTCGTACTGTACGGCGGGTTGTTGACGTGTCCGGTAGGTCCGGGGCGTGACATGTGCGCTATAGTAAACAAACATTATACTCCTTACAATAGGTCTAAACTCATATTGTACTTGTATATGAATTAAATAATTTATGTTTGATTCGCATTTGTATAAGACTATTCAAATTTGAAAATATAAATACAAATAAAAATACTAAATTTGATTCAAATTGTTGTCAAATACAAATAAGAATATCAATATATTTGATTTGAATGTTAATCAAATATATTTGCATTAATAATAATTATAATAGCATAATAGTATTTATAATTAATAATAGTAATAGTAGTAATAGTAATAATAACAGTAACACTATAATTACTTTTAAAAACGAATTATACTTTTGATGTGTAGTTTATATGTAAATTTATTTATGTACACATTTCAAAACCCATTTATAATATATCAGAAGTATCATACTATGATTTGAATTTGAAATATAGAATATGCATACAAATTAGATTTTCAATTCGAACATCTTTCAAATATGAATACAAATAATTATGCATTTGATTCAAAGAATAATTAAATATATCCTTTTATACATGTGCAACATCAATTACCCAGTATGTGTGCATCAACTATCCAACATATGTGCTTGTGTATAATATAAATCATATATCGATTTTTTTTTATTATCATCAACAATGAGAAATATCTAATACAAAATTAGTGTCGTTTTCCTTTGAAGTAGTTATCAACTAATTCCACACATTATGAGCATAATTTCTAATGTGTGTTAGTGTATATTTCAAAAACTTTGAAATAGATTTATGTATATTAATCATATAATTGATTTACTTTAGTATATTGTGGACAATCTGAAAACACATCGATCTGTTAAATTTTAAAGAACAATGCAATGTCACAAAATTAAAACTGAAAACACATTTAAGTCATATAATGCATTTTTAACATAAAAAATATATTTGAAAAGTTTTCCTAAAGTGTTGTTTGACTAATAGTTAACTTAGATTAAATATGATTTTAGTCTCTGCAAATATAACACACTTTGTTTTAGATCCTTGCATTTTATTTTTGTTTTTTATTCCTAAAACTATGTTGGTTTTCTTTTTAGTCCATGATTAGTGATGACAACTTCCGTTTAACAATGAAACAACCTTGACTCAAAAAATATTTAATTTCATTTTAGAAGGTTTTTAGTACATATTTTAAAAATGAAATAATCAATTTTATATCATTCTAACTCTCATATTAGCCTAAAAAAATTATAAAATGATAAATTGAATGTTTCTAGTAGATTTAAATGTTTTATATGTATTTTGTGCAATTTTCTAAAAAATAATTCCCAAACTAATACTGTTTATTACTTATTATCTCCAGAAGTCAAATTTGAAAGCATCTCCAATGCTATGTTTTTAGGATAAAAATTTTGTGACACATGATACTAAATATATGGAATGTCAAATCACGTGGGATGCATGAAATTAAACATCCCCAGGCGGTATACAATGCATACTGTGGACTTCAATTGTTTCACAAATGTGACATTTATTTACTTGAAATTAAATAAATTTAATAGGCAGGGGCAGCCTATTTTATCCATGACTTTCCCAAGGATTTCTCCAAGTGGAATTAAAAATGTCTCTTAATGGAAAAATGTAATTCTTTGTTCAATTGCAATTTATTCCTTTAAAGTAAATCACAATATCCTTGAAAATGTCAAGACAAAAATACTAAAAAGTAATGAACAAAAAAGAGATGTACCTCGTTTTAAGTTTCCAATTAATTAAGCATTAAATATTGACACTCTTAAATGTATCTTAATTACTTTAGGTTTAAATATATTTTTAGTCGCTATAAATATATATATTTTGCTTTACATCCCTGCATTTTTTCACGCTTGAAATTTATGTTGATTTTCTTTTTAGTCCATTACCAGTGATAACAACCTCCGCTTGACCTCAAAATAATCCCGACGGATAAATTTCTTCTAATTCTTTGTCATGTTATTAAAAAGTATTCAATTTTGTCTTTAGAAAGTTCTAATATATATTTTTAAAATGTGAATATTTAGTTTTACATTGTTTTAGCAGTCATATTAGCCTAAAAAATTATAATAAAGATAAATTTAAATATTTCTAGTGGATTTATGCAACTCATGATAATTATATTAAGTATAGTGGTTTCAAAATTAGAGATGAACTAAAAACAAAGTATTGCATATTACAAGGATAAAAAATAAAAAACATTTTGAAGGGAGCTAAAACAAAGTGTGTCATATTTGCAAACATGTGGAGGCCATAGTGATCACTAACAGTCAGTGATCAATGACCAATCCGATAGTGATAGAGTATATGGGCCTGGACCCCATGGCCCACATACTCAAGTCAACGATGACCAGAAGAACATCCACGTGGTCCCCTTCGGCCCAGTGGGGTCCGCATCGGCCAGGAACCAAACCGGCCCAGAAAGCATACCTGGACTTCCGGGGCCGCGTCGGCCCATGGACCGCATCAGCCATGGGACCGCATCAGCCATGGGACCACATCGGCCAAAAGGCACCGCATCGGCCAGACTTCGTCCTGGCAGAATACATCTCTCTACTTTATTTACTAAGTATTGTACTCAGCCCATTAGTGGTCTTATTTCGCCCAAAGAAGACATGCTTATTGTAATGGGCCTCCTAAGCCCATGGCTAGGAGCCCAAATTCACATTTTTACCTATAAATAGACCCCTTGGGGCTAGTTATAGGGAGTTGAGAAATATAATTACTCACTTTCTCTCTCTAGCTCTCACTTCTCTCTAGAATTAATACTCTATTAGATAGTTATCATCGTTATCAGTAACAATGACCATCGTTGTCGGTGACAGTGACCGCCGTCGCCGGTCACAGTGTCCACCACTGATGAGTTACAATTACTACTGCATCGGTGACATGATTTTAAACCCCTAGTGACACCGTCCCCCGCCGCTGACAACACAAACTCATGACCATAGCCCCCACGATGGATCCAAATGCCCCGACTTGGCGACTTACCTCCTCCCAGCTCCTCAACCCTCACCTATTCTCCCACGTCCAACTCCCCTCTCCCCAGCTCCTCAGCCATGTATGCCTGATCCGTGGACCACCGCTCCCCGGCCACTAGCCGACCAAGCCCTCCACCCCCCACCCCCACCCTGAGCGATATTTTGTAAATGTAAACTTACCAAAAGTGCATTTTTAAATACATCCCAAGAAAAAAAGTAACAAACTTTAAAATACAAAGTCTACAATTAGTCACTTTTTTTCAAATTAAAAATTAATCCTATTTATGTCTAAGGAAACAATGTATTTTTTTCATTATTTCATTATTATTTAATGTTTTTTCTAAAAGATTACTAATAAAAAATATATTGACAAAAATGTGACTATAAGTTATTATGAGTAAATTTTATATTTCATCTATTATTAAATAAGTGAAACGGTCAACTTTTTACATTTTTCGATGCACAACTTTGACCATTAATTTATATAGCTCTCTGTTAGTAAAAAAATAAAAAATCAGATATTTGAGAATTTACAATGAGACAAATTTAGCAATCTTTTTTCAATTTTTTATTAATACATTAATAAATAAAGCGCAATCAAAATAGAACATTAAAATTTCACACTTATTTAAGAAGTAAGAATAAGTAAGAAATAAGATAAGAGGGACTAGGGAGTATATTTTTGTCCACGTGGGGCCACGTCCCTACCGAACAAAAATGTGGAAAGCAATCGGGTCACCCAATGGGCCTAGTATGGGACTTTGGAGGACCAGACCAACCCGAGGTGTATCCGGGCATGACATAACAAGTGCGTGGAGGTTCGATTCTGTCAGCCACATTTCCTACGCTCTATTTCACTTCCAATTTCATCCTTTTTCTGCTCCCAGCTTGAAGTTCACCTTCATCTCTGCGGGTAAACTATCTGCTCGTCATACTTTCCTATTTCTTCCAAAAAATTCGCCGTATTTGTTAAAATCATATTCACAATTTGTTGTTTTTGAATACTTGCCAAGGCTTTGATGATTTATTACGTTGAACTGTTTCGCGAAATGACTTTTCTCCATTTCAGGAAGTTTTTTTTTTTTTTTGCAAACCATGATAATTGAGTTCTTTTGTCTTGAATGGTGTTTTATTTACTAGTTCATGCTGATGACTTTCTCTATGTTTGGTATTCTGAAGCTAGTGATTCTAATTTGATGCATGTTGCATTGATGAACATTTCAAAGTAACCTTTCTGAAATGTGAAATAGCAATCTCCCAATTTATTACAAATTTTGGAATTATTTTTCCGAAGAAATGGTACAAAATTGCTTCTTCCTTCTGTAAAGGAAATCAGGATCTTTTTTTTTGTAATCGTAACTGGGGTTTTAAATTAGGTTGCGGTTTTGGTTGGAATGGTAGAGATTCGGAAGACAACCATATACATTGGGCTCTGTTTAACTTGAAGGGTGAAGTTTTTATGGGACTCGTACATGATATGAACCCTACAGTATACAACAAAAAGTTCTGATAAGAAAATATAGAGCTCTGGCCAAGATTATAACTACATAAATTCATAAGCGGAAATTGTAATAATTTTTTTTTGTCTGTGCTGTACTGTATCTAGTAATTTGTTGATTCCTTTTATTTTCAATTGTAATATTTGTATTATTTTCAAAAATTTCCCTAAACCTCCGAAAGCATTTGTGGGGATCTTTTTCCAACTAAGAGTAGTAACTAGTAAGGTTATTGCTTAGTCCTGCAAAGTACCTGGTTTCTATATTCCCCATCCATTAAATCTTCTGATGTCTTCATTATTTCTTCTCTATATCTCTGTAAAAGTGGTTAAATTTAGCTGGGATGAACTAGGCATATTCAACTAATGAACTAAAGTAATGTAATCTTAATTTCATAGAAAGATTAACACTATTCCCAGCTAGTATTTGCTCGAAGTTTCCATTTTCTTATTTTCTCTTCAAAATTTGAATTAAAATTAACTACCAAGGAACATTTTTGAATGCTATGATTACATCTGGAATTCAGTGAGCTGAAGTCATACACAAATCATAATTTTGTTGCTGCAGCTATGTAAAAGGTTCTAAGTGTGCATTTCGTGGATGCTAATACATAGATTACCACACTTTCCCTAACTCAGCTGAATATCTGAAACTTAACATCTATTCTACATTTCTACTACATTGATGTTTAATTATTTAAAAAGTGAAACCGTTATGGCCTTGCGACAATATACAATGTCTTTGTGGCTTTGTTCAGCTGTGCATCTAAATACTTTGAAGAGCAATTGTAGCTCTTAATGTATGTGTTGTGAAAGACATGCTTTGCTTCTTTGGTTTTCTCAAGAATAGAGGTGGTAGCCATTATTTTAGTTTCACCTTGGTTTTTTTTTGTTCACTTTGTAAGATAGAGTTCTTGTTTGTTATTAGTTTCTGTGATGTGGCAGCTTGGTTTAAGAAGATAGAATTCATGTTTTCTATTTGATGGCTTCACTTATGCTACCTATTTTGTCTCTTAGGTTTCCTATATTCAAATGCCCTAACGAGACAACTGCATCTAAGGTCTTCATGATCCTGTTTAAGTATAACTGCTCTGGGAAGTTTAGAAAGAACCAACCTATCAGCCAGCTCAATACAGTACAGTATTAATGAAGATGAACAATAGCATTGCATCTGCTTTTGCTATTGCTCCTGCCTCTTCTCTTAGCCATGAACAAACTGCTGCTCCTGCTCCTGCCCCTTGTGAAGATGAGGAAAAGAAAGCTTCAAAGAGCTTATCTGGTTTTATTTTCTTATGTAATGGAAGGTCCAAACCAGAGTGCTACAAATATCGTGTTTTTGGGCTCCCATTGAGTAAAGTGGAAGTTGTAGAAAAGATTAAAACAGGCACAAAACTTTTCCTGTTTGATTTTGACGTGAAGCTTCTTTATGGTGTTTATGAGGCAACTTCCGATGGAAAAGTAGGGTTGGAACCTCTTGCTTTTGGAGGCAGATTTCCAGCACAGGTATTTTTTTTTGTCATGCTACAAATCCTATAATAATTTTCTTCCGAAGTATCTTCAGAGAATTTACTCCCTCTGCTCTAAAATATTCTTCGAGTTTTCCTTTTGGGGGCCGTACTAAATTTTTCTTCTCGTTTTCTGTTTAAGAGAGGAAATGTTTCGTTCATATTTTTACTACCTTTTGTACATACACCTCAACCACACAATTTCACTTTCTTCACTTTCTTAATAGGCGTGCAACTCAAAATGAGAATATTTTTTTGGGACGAAAGAAGTAGTAAATGCTTTGAAGACTACAGAATTATCAAGACATAATCTTGCTGCTTAAGCATTGATCTGCAATTTGATGCTGGCCTTTATCTTCTTAGGTTGATGATATTTGGATGTTTTTATGTAGTTTATAATCAGACATGGTGTTTAGTAACCAAACATAAAGTAACATGTTCCTCTTGTGTGTATGTGTCGCAGGTATTCATAGCATTATTCCTCTTGTGCATGTTTTTAGTAATAAATTAATGATGTACCCAACATATTTGGGAATTTTGTGTTTTACATGTCATGTTAAGTCATTCCTCATCATGCTCAGTGATAAGTGATAACAGGTAAGAGACTTGAGCAAAAGAAAGAAAAAAGAATTGATGATAAAATCCATAGATTCTTTCAAAAGAACAACACCTTTCATGCATGGCATAATGGATTCAATATTTATCACATACTTATATAGTCATTTAGTTTCTGATCCTTTCTGAAACATTTCTTCTGCTCTAGTTTAGTACTACCTCAGTCCCATTTTATGTGTCTTGTTTTGGTTTGACACTAATACACTATTATTAATAGTGGTTGAAAAAGTAAAAGTTGTGGTTTAGATTTGAGTATTATAAAGTGAAATGTTGTGGTACACCTGTTTCTTTCAAAAAAGGAAATGTGACTTATTTTGGGACAACCCAAAAAGGGAATTAAGACAGGTAAAATGGGACGGAGGGAGTAATATATGTCATGCTTGGAGCATGTTTGACTTTGGGTGACCTGAAAAAAGAAAACAGTACAGTGTATGACTGTTTACTCTTCCGTCCAGGTACAATTCAGAATTTACAAGGGATCTCTTCCATTGCATGAGAATTCTTTCAAACATGCCATAAAAGATAACTACAAAGGCTAAAAAACTATTATCAATGATGTTATTTATTATCATGAGAAAGACTAAAAAACAGCTTACTGGCTTGAGTGCCTATTATGTGATTGATCTATTCTGTAATTGAGAACTTTGCATGAAACAGGTCAGAAATCTCCTATCACTGTTTCGTCCTCTTTATGAATCATCGTCATCATCAGCTTCACCCGCCCCGATGGCAAACATTGGCCCGACTTTGCCGAATATGGGCCATCCAAAGGGAACTTACCCCTCGGCAGTGAGGCAGCAAGTCGAGCACTTATCAACAGTACCCTTTGGGAAGGATCCATATGCCGGAATTGGCCAAGGTCACGTTCGGAATATCCAAGTATCACATCATGGATGGCAGGGAACGATGCCAATAAGAGATCGTTTCCACAATGGCATTGATCCGGGGGTTGCAGCTCCCAGCAAGCAATTCTTTACTGCTGATTCTCATCAGCATGTCCCAACATCCAGTTATCCATACTATACTGCAAATGGAAATCTCAATCCACCCATTCACCAATATTATACTGCAGATGTTCAAGAACGAAATATTGCAGCTCACAGTCACCCATATCATTCTGCTGCTGCTCAACAACTAAATGCTATACCTCTCACTCACCAATATTATTCTACCGACTCTCAGAACCCAAATGTTACTACACCTAGCCACCCATATCATTATGCAGATGTTCAAGAACAAAATATTGCAGTTCACAGTCACCCGTATCATTCTGCTGCTGCAGCTCAACAACTAAATGCTACACATCTCACTCACCAATATTATTCTACCGACTCTCAGAACCCAAATGTTGCTGCACCTAGCAACCCATATCATTCTGCTGCTGCTCAACAACTAAATGCTACACCTCTCACTCACCAATATTACCCTACTGACTCTCTGAACCCAAATGTTGCCGCACCTAGCCACCCATCTTGTGCTGCTGATTCCCAACAGTTGAATACTGCAGTGCACATTCAGCAGTATTATTCTACTTATCCTCAGCAAGTAAATGTGGAAGCAGTGAGTCACCCTTGCTTCCCTGCTGATTCTCAACTACGAACTGCCACAGCACCTAGTCACAATTATTATGTTGCAGTTGATGGTGGTGCTGTGCAGTTGAGGCAGGAATCTTATTTTAGGTAGACGTTTCTTCATTTCCTTTTTAGCTACTTCATCTCGCACTTTCGTATTACCACCCCTACATCCCAATTCATTTCCCTTCAACTACTCATGCTGTCAACCTAGTTCCTTTTTTTGTTCTTTAATTTTTTGTATCCAATTATAATTGTATTTTAGTTTTTTTTTTTTTGCGGTCTAATTATTCGAAGAAGTGATAGTAGGGTTTCTATTTTCTAAATATGTAAATTTAGTATTAATACTAATTTAAATGTTACTAGGAAATAGATAACTTATACTTCAGTCAACCCTCTTGATCCGAAATCGGTTAAATAAATTTGGGAGGAGGTGGCAGTATTTAACAATTCTGGAAACTTAAAATGCAAAAATCAGAATACTGATGTTTCAGTTGTTGGTGTAATTGAGACAGATCAATGCAAGAGGCAGCTCCTCAGGATCAACTAATGGGAATACAACATAATTATCAGCAACTGCCTCAACAGATGCATCAACAAAGTGCTGATACCTTCAATTCGAACCCCATTCTCTCAGCCCCTTATGGATCTTTACTAGCTCTGCCGGGTGCTCCTCAGGCAGTTGCCACTCCGCATGATCTAAATGCTCACTCCTCAACCTATTATTAGCTCATGGGTGCAATTGTTGTTTGAAGAAGGTGGTGAACACGGAAATCAGGTCTCATACTCTTTGTAGGGTTTCTTGAAATATGTTGTTTTTTGTAAGAAAAGAGTTTTACCACCACCCAAAAATGCTACAAGCGCTTGTACAATGAGATTCTATGGATGTTATACCCTTTAATAAACTAGGAGCTTTTAGTAGTCCAAAGTTATTGATGTCAATCCATGATTATTTCTCTAAAAGGTGAAATCACGCACCTGAGTATTGGGAGATCAGTACGGGGTGTGCCATAGTGTGGCATTAGTTATTAGTCCAACTCTTCCACCTTAGTAGTATCTTCTCAGATTATCCTGTAGAGACTTGATATTGATGGGGTTTGGTCCGTGGTGAGAATGGAGGAAGGGGAAAGGGTGAACCAGTTAAACTGTACCTCAGTTGCATAGTCAGTTGATAATTGCATGTTTTTGCCTACAGTAGTACCAACAGAGAAACATGATATGATGGAATAGTTTTTTTCCCAAAAATACAAGGCATGACATATAAGAGAAACATGCAAATACTAAGAATGCAGGGTTTTATGCATATAGTGCATGTGTACATAGAGAGATTTCGTCATAGGATTTGTTGATGATATTACTTATTACTAGTTATTACTATGGAAAGATTAACTGATGATATAATTTATTATCTACATCTCCCAACCATAATATGTCAATTTTTTGGAATTATTAATTAGGGTAAACATGATTTATTATTGACTTGTTGTCTATTTACTAGATAGTTTTAATGGAAAGTTACTTTTCCTTTCAAAAAATATTGAAAGTTGCATTTGCATACAAGTTTGATTTCATTTTTATTAATAAAGTTCTTTTTCTTCAAAGAAAAAGTTATATGTATTAATGTATGTATTTAGTTTACTGTTTTTATAATTATTAATTTTATCTAATGAATTTTCATTTTTTAAAACAAACAATTAACTAATTAGATTAATCTGCTTCCTATTATTGTGACAAGTGACTCACTAATTAGATCAATTTATTTGCTTTTAGTATCATGTGTGTGTGTGTGTCAAGAGGTGAAAAGATTCAACGTAATCCTAAATTGATCTCTACTATAGTTGAACATAAATGTTGAGCACCATTGTAATATTCTCATATAATTTTATTATAACACATATTATATGTTATGTGTATGCTAAAAGTATAAGTTAATTTATACTGAGCATTTAATTAGTTATTACGGAGTACAATATTTTCTCATATTAATGTAGGACTAACTATTAAAAATAGCCATTTTCCTTGAATATTACTAAATAAAAGCCAATTTCCAAAAAATGTGACAATTTTTTTGGAAGGACAAAAAGTGATTAAGGTCATATATTTGGAAAAACATGATGTCACTGCCAAATTTTTATGTGACTGTCAAATTTCTAAGCCCTGTCCGGCTGTTCCCCAGCTACCTTAGCCATCAGTCTACTTGTCGACCGTCGCCACCACCGACCACCGCCCCACCCCGACTTCCCAGCTCCCTCTCTAACCTCTAGCCTCCTCTACAACACCTCCACCACCTCCACCCTTCGCCTGCAAACCAAGCCCCCTTCCAAGCCCTAACCACCCCTCCAACTACCAACCGTTGTGCCCCATCCCAAAATCCAAGTAGCCGAACAAAATTAACCTCACAATCGCACCACCACATTAGATTTGATCCCTAACAATCGATCTAAAATTGTAGCCGTCAAAATTGGACGGTGGCTCCATTGACAACGGCGACGGCGGGCGAGCAGAGGTGGTTCACGGAGAAGAAGAAAGGGGAATGAGTTGCAACGGCGGGGAATCGATGCAGAAGAAGGAAGAAGGCTGGTCGCATCTCGTCGCATGGGCTGGTCACATCCTCATCTCAGGCTCCAAATCCCCAATGGTTGAAGAAGGTAAAGTAGCGTAGAGGACGAGACGTTGAAGGCGTGCAGGAGTTTTATTTCAAAATGATCTCTTTCCTGTCAAATTTAAAAGTTATCATATTTTTGTTTAATGAAAGTTGGAAAGTAATATTTGTGTCATTTTTTCTTTTAATATTATCGTTTGTAAATATTATGTATAAACATTTTTCATATTTTTTTCAATATTTAATACGAAGTACATGATTTTAAGAGTTTTTTTAAAAAAATCCCCTAAAATTGCTCAGATGCTTCGGGCAAGTAAGAAACCGGCCATTTATTGTCATAGTGACTATTTTTGATTTGATAGTCCAAAATCAATTCGTTTTCAGTTTTCACTGTCTCAAAATAGAAATTCTGAGACTGTTTGGAGGAACACGAGTGGACCCCCGCTTTTTCTTACACAGCTTTGCGATACTGTCGCTTTCTGAGCTCTGATTTATCCTCTCACGAAATCTTTACAGCGGTCCGAAGAGAGTATAAAATCCCGCGATGTCTAGCAGTCAACGAGATTAACACTGATTGTCAGGAAACAGTCTAAGTGAGAGGCTGCGCTGCCGATGGGAAATTGTTGCTCCGACGCGAGCGGCGGAAAGGCAGCCGTGGGCGGCAACGGGAGCTCCGGAAACAATCCGACTGATGATGCCAGCCTCGCCGTCGATGCCTTCCTCAAGTCTCGACGCTACCACGGGCTCTACTCTCAGATCGAGGTTCTCACTAACTGTATAGAAGCTCACTTATAAATGCTGTTCCCGAACATTGAATTCAGTATGGAGGTTTACGCGATTTCTCGTTGCTTGCTAGTTTGCAATGTCTGGAATTCTCGTTCAACACGATATATATCTATATTATAACTAAGCAATTGACCTGTTGGCAGCTCAATTAACTTTCGTTTTTTTTTTCTCTATATTTTTTTGCGAGCATTTTTATTTTCTCTATAGAGCATTTTTCTTTGCAGTCTTAATTTATACTACCTCCTTCCCATTCAAAGGTTCTCGTCCACTATTCACATAATCAACTTAAATCATTCTTAATCTATTGCTTTATATGTTAAATTTTTATCAAATTTACATTTTTTATAAGGCTTTGTAGCGGTTTTAACGTAGTTTCTGAATATGTAAATTTTATTTATTAAAAATAATCAAAGTGTGAACAAGAATTAAGTTGTTTTTTCGTCAGTCAAGCATCGTAAAGCGTAACGGAACCTCTCTATGGGACGGAGGGAATACTATGTATCTGAAAAACAATCATGTTTTAGCCAATGTAGTATTTTTAATGGCTATAAATCATTAATCATACTTACAATTTTAAAAATTATTTTTTAATTTAGCTAAATTTATCTAAGCAACTTGAATGTGACCGTATTTGGCAAATTACACATAAGTCATAAGTGTTAATTCATTTTAGTCAAATGTGAATTTATTCGGACAAAAACTTGTTTGGAAATTGGAACAGAATTATTTTTGGGAGACGGAGGGAGTATCACGTCATCTTATATCATTTCTTTCTCAGCATTTCTGAAATATTTTGGTGGAAAAGAGAGGGTTACAGTCCATACTTTATGCCCAACTCCATGAGCAAGTAGAACTGTAGGAGTCACCCAGTTGAAGAGGTAATAGACTGGTAGTACCACGGACAGGTTGACAGTAGATACTATTCAGGCGTGACCATGGAATATAGGGTATCTTCGACTTTTGTGTAATTGGGGCTATTGGGCTATTGGGCTATTGGACATTCATATGGCACTTGTTTGAATAGAAGAGAGAATGCCTTCATAGACTAAAGCCCAAATGTTTGCATCATAATGAAGAGAGTGGGAAAAAATATAAACTGAAACTTGTACATAAGTTGACTTGATCATTCTTAAGATAATGGTGTTATGAGATATCATGTTTTACTAGCATACTGCACTAAGCATTTTATATTTGGGAAGAAATGAAGAGTAAAGTGCAAATCTCTATGCTAACCTGCTTTCCTTAGAACAGCACTGTACTCATCTCATCTGAGGAGTTCATGGCTGTCTTTGTGATAAAATGGTAGAGCTAATATTATGGAGATGATATTGTTGAAATAAATTACTAAATATGGATGTTGTTGTAGTTAGTTTACAAAGTATGGATGTGTGAGGTGCAGTTTAGAGCTTTGTTTGTGGGGAGGAAATAGAGAAGAGAGATAGATTTTGGGTGAGAAAGAGATATAAGATAACAATAGGAGAGAAATCGAGTAGATTTTGGGTATTGTTTGGTGGGGAGAAACAGAGAAGAAATGGATGAAACTGAGAACATAAAAACTTCTTTTCTATTTCTTCCCATGAGGGAAAAGAATTGAAAAAGCGGTGGGATCCATGATTTTCTTTTCTCTTTACTCCATTTAACTTCTTCACCAAACAAATAATTTGTTATTTCTTTCTTATTTCACTCTCTTCCTATTTCACCCTTCCCTATGTCACTTCAATCAACAAAAGCTACAAGTTACACTAAGCTTGTTAGTTTATAAAGAGGCTAAACTATAGGTTATTCACAAAAAAGCCCTTTGTTATAAATTATACTCCATCGTCCCATTTTGGTTGTCTTACTTTCCTTTTTGGGTTGTCCCAAAATGAATGTCATGTTTACATTTTTGACAAGAATTTATGTGGTCCATACCATTTCACTTTATTCTACTCAAATCTCAACCAAAACTTTAACTTTTCAGTCACTTTATTAATAATTGTGCCAAACTAAAAGAAGACATCCATTATGGGACAGATGTAGTAATAATCTTAGTCTGCTGAATTTGATATGTTTTAATATAAATTGTTGCAGTTATCTCTATCTGCCTCAAAGTTGCGCGATCGGGACGTGCTTTCCAAGGTTTGTTTTATTGTTTTAACTTTTAGTTAGAAATGTATAGCATGATTTGATTTGGCTAGGCAGTTTTATAAATATTTAAAGATTCCTATTGATGTCATTTCAAAGGTACTAAATATATTGAGGTGAGGAAACACGTGTCATTGCTTAGTTATACAAATATTAATATAGAAATTTAAGTCCATATTTATCCTGAGTCAATATATTCTTTTACATAAGGTTCTTGACTCCATGGATGTGAATGCAAGAAATATTTTCATGAACCTCTAGAAGACTGTAGGGAAGACTGTAGGGCATGGCGTGTTTCATGATCAATTGTGAATGATGTTTCACTTACAGAGTGATCCTATGGCAGTCCTTTATTCAAAAGGAAGGGATGGCAAACTTCAAGAGCTTGGTCGAACAGAAGTGGTTTTGAATTCAGTTCATCCTAAATGGATCACAAAATTTAACATGACCTATCAATTTGAGATGGTGCAGAATTTGGTGTGAGTTATGATTCAACGTATATGATTATGATTGGAAAAACACTCTTTTATCAGTCTCATTTTCCTTTCTTCACAGGTTCCATGTGTATGATGTTGACACAAAATTGCATACCCAAGATACGAAGGTACATGTTTTCTACTTTAGAATTTTAGTAGATCTCTTATGAATAAGCATCAGTTTGGTCTCTTTCATGAACTGAAATTGGGTACCTGTTTCGTTTGTCCACCATTTTTCCTATCATGGTCTAATAAGTACTTTACAAAAAGCTTGCAATCTGCATCATTCTTGGTGTACCTCATT